ATCTCTCACGGGAGCCAGTGGTCCCACAAGAGGCAATGTGAGTAAAGGATGAACACGGCTTTTCTTCCTTATTTCCCAATACAGTCACTTTCTTGGAACCTTAAAAATATGTCATCCTCAAGGAGTGTGGATTTTTAAATCAAATACCAGTTGCTTTGGTGCTCTCTCCCCTGGTTTATCAAGAACTAGTCACTTACAACATACTCGAGCTCCTGCCCACAGGGGATCATCCACCTTCTGGCCCCTGTCTTTGGTCTTTGGTCTTTGAGGTTGTCAGAGTATTTGGATCACTGAACCTACTTGCACTGAGGGGTGACGTCCTTTCTTTTGTCCCAAGCCCTCAAACTCATGCATGAATGTGTGTCCTGCCTTGGTAAGGAGTTCTCCACCCTTACAAGCTGGTGGAAGATTCACATAGGTTTTCTGTTCCTCCTTTTAAAAATCCCAACCGTTGTATAGCTAGCAGGAAGGTGCTGGAGGGATGGGATAAAGAAGAGTATGTGAGAGCAGTGGTTTCCCAAGATTGCCCTCCGTGGGCCTTTAGTCCAAAAAACATAAGGGTAGGGTGACATCTCCGGTCACATGCAGTACCCTCCCCTCTCCTGACCTCCTGTGGGTCATGTGTGTGCTGCCCGGCTCCCTCCAGCTCCACCAGCACCACACCCCTGTCTCACCCCATGCAGACCCATGGCTGCATGATTCCAAGTGACAACACAAGTACAATTTGCAGAAGATGAAAGGCTTCCCCCACGCCATCTTCAAATAAAAAGTCATTAATAAATCACATTTAGTAAGTCAGTGAAAGTTAAACATATTAGTAAAAGAAAATCTGAATGAACTAGAATCCACCTATCTGAACACAAATCAGTGTTGGCAGTTCAGTAACATGGGTGAGGACTGGTGCCAGGCAGAGGAGAATGGCGTGGAGTCCCCGAGGAGCAGCGAGACACACTGGAGACAGCCCATCAGTTCCTCATCTGGTTGATCAGCTTGCCGATGCTGGGCAAGACACCTGTTCTCCTGACACCTGCCCAAATTACCCCCCAAAGTGTCTTACTGAGAATGAAAAAATGTAGTATTTCTTCAAGTGGTGACTTCAGTGAGCCAGGAAATATTTATTGAGTTTAAAGCACAGGACTAAATAGTAATAATAATAGGGAGCAGCAGCAGTAGCAGCAGCTACCATTACTTGCCCTCATTGCTGAAACAACAAACCAATTTGATGCACTGGCCAAACTGTGACCAAATCACAGCCTAAGGGCAGCGGGCTGAAGGGCTGAATGGAAATCCTTGGTCTTCAGGTAACGTATCTTAAATTTGCAATTTTTTGAAATAAATTCTCATTTATCACCAATAAGGTGATGTGGAAAGGGCAGGATCTCCTCATGAGATACGAGGTGCTCGGTTTCCCTGGGGTCAGGTTTCAGGCCGCTCCCCTGGGTCTCAAGCCCCTCCCCTAGGTCTCAAGCCCCTCCTCTGAGATCTGACCTACTGTTGCTTGTTGCACCTATTTTCAGCACAAACACATGGAGACTGAGACTGCAGGAGGCAGATTTAGGTAATTCCAGGGACTGAGCATGCTCAGTAGAATGACCTTCCACTGCAGGTGCTAGAGAGCACCTAGCATATTTTAAGTGTATTTGGTGGAATTTGATCAATGAGCATGTTCTGAAGAGACCAACTGAGCATGTGCAAGTCTATGTTACATAACCTGTTACATAACTGGGAACCACCCCCTTAGGTGAATATTCATTAGCGTAATAACTTCGTATAGCATACATTATACGAAGTTATACGATATTCTTCAGAAAAAGTTTCATAACTATACTGGATCTGAACCTGTGGCCTTGGTGTTATCAGCACCACACTCTCCCGACTGAGCAATGTTTTTTGGTTAAACCTGCCTTTAGCCGGCTGCTGCTCAAGCAAGCCTGCACTTTGTCTATGAAGTATGTATTCATTAGTTTTGTATCAAACTTGCTGCAGCTGCCGCTCACTCTCTGGAGCCAGCCCACAATTTCCCTGTGAAATGTGTATTTCTTATTCTTTACGTTAAAGCTGTTTTCATTTTCTACTCAAACTCTGCTCTTGAATTCTTTCCTGTGAGAAGAACCTGGGGAAGACAAGGTGGGTTGAGGTCAACTATCCGACCTCCCCAAACCCTCTCCTCTGCTATCATTCGGAGTCTGCTTCTGCTATAACTTTTTCTCAGCCTGAGGCCTGTCTTTCCAAACAGTGTCCATTCACTTCAAAGTGAGAAAAAATCAATGAAATGGCTGTCCTCTGCAGTCCTTCCCAACCCATGACCCTTGGCCACCTACCAGGATGGCGGCCCGGGGGTCCAGTCCATTCTCCACCACTGAGAGCATTTTCACTCACACAGCAGCTCCTGAGGCAAATCACACACCTACAGGGACAGATGGTGGCCAGATAAGCCCGCTTCCAACTCACTCCCCAGTCAGGCTCCCCTCCCAGTGTTGCAGTGAGCAGGACTGAAGCTATGATGGGACCTAAAACAGCAAGGGCTATGGGCATATTTTAAAAGGACACAGTTTTCTTCTTGGCATGCATTTCTCTGAGTTCCCTCTTTTCCCATGGTTATCTGTTATATTTTTTTGGACAGGAAGTAGAATTTATTAGTGGGCATGAGTAAGGAGGAGGTGGCACAGTGGAAGCCCTCAGGAGAGCAGGGCCCACCTCTTGTCCAGGGGGACAAGGTTGGGGATGCAGTTAATCCCACAACCATCTGGGATCAGCCGCTTCTCAATGACCATGTCTTCAGATTCATCCACATGAAACTTGGTAAAGCCCCACTTCTTTGAGAGGTGGATCTTCTGGCACCCTGGGAACTTGCACTTAGCCCTGCATAGGGCCTCAATCACGTGCTCCTTGTTCTGCAGCTTGGTGTGGATGGACGATGACTTGGCCAATGTGAACCCTGCCCACTGTGGCCTGGGGCTTTCCAAAAAGCACTCCACATACCGTCAGGATTCTAGATCAGCTACAGCGCTAGGTCAGACACATGAACGTACATTGGAAAGGGTTTTCTCCAAGGTCCCTTAGGGCAACCCATACAAGCAGCAGGCTGTGTACCCTACCAGGGCTGCTGTTTGCAGCCACTGCATGCTGGGCCCCCACAAAGAAAGGAGCACAGTTGGCTTAACTGGCTGCAGAAGACCCTGGTTATGGGGCAAGATGACATTGTTTACATAAATGTAGTTTTCCAGCCACCCTGAAACTGCAAACTTGCCAGGAGGCATGTACTATCCAGACCCTGAGATAATGGCAAAGATGGGAACAGAAGCCAGAGGGAGTCTT